CACGGCAACCCTGTTATAGCAGTGTACGCCTTACTGACTAAAACCCATGATAAGAAAATACAATTTCCTTACATATACACAGTTTTGTATGTCTGCTCGAGGTGCCACCTACAGTGCCAGCACACACTAGATTACCATTATATTTTTTGTATAACCATGGCGAAAAAAGAAAAGAAAAGAAAAACAGAGCACACAATACATTGTACGTGTTTTTTTTTTTTTTTTTTTTTTTTTTTTTAAATCAAAATGTGCGAATATGGAGCCCATTTCAGGATACAACGGCTTCAGTAACTCTTACTTCTGGAACTGGCAATCCAAAATGCCATCAATACATAAAATACAGCCACAAAAATTATACAAACGATACAACCACGAGGGCTCCTTCAAAGTACCACTTTCTGAACCACAATGAATGCCCAAAAATTTGTAACATGATTCTGCAGGGCAGTGGAGGTCGTCATTCACCCTCAGCCTCTTGCCAAGAAAGGCTCGTTCCAGAGAGTACTTAGACCTGCCCAAGTGATGCACAACAAGCAGGGCATGTTGTCTTGAACACGAAACAGAATGATAGAAATGAGCTCATGGACACAGACCAATAACAGGATTGTGCAGAGCAAACAGGACGACAAACGGCAGCTACGGTATCCTAATCTGGTCATTAGGATACCATAGCTGCCATTTGTCGTCCTGTTTGTTCCGCGACAGTGCACAACAACTTCCCGAAACGCCTACCGGCGTCCTGCAAAGAGGGAAACAGCATTATTTTTAAAGCGCACGATGAGTGAGGTGACAAGAGACGATGACAAGACAACGGGATTTTTGACAAGAAGTCGCTGACTCGTTTCGCATTCTGGCAGGGGAAATAGTGGATGTTAGGCACCACGCCCACTATTTAAAATTAGTGAGACTTGATTAGAGTAGATATTAGAAAACATCACGCTACGTAACCTCACTAACACCAGGGCATGGCCAAAACTACTCACTTCAGATCTCAGAGCACTTCACATGAGAAATAGGGAGAAATTGAAAGGGGTGAGTGACTAAAGGCTAAAGAAAGCCCACTGAGCTGTGAGTCGATCAAGTGGGCTGGGTTACGGTGATTTGCTTTCAGGAAGCTGGGTTGTGAGAATACTGAGTGGACATTTGTGGAGCTCATTCCACAAGATTCCTGGACGTATTTTTTTTAACCAACTGTATGGTGAAAACCAGTGTCGTAATCATCTCTCCATCCTAGCCGTTTAGAATTGTTATCGATAGTCTTAAGGCAGACAGCACGGCAGTTTCTGAACCAATAGAATATGTCAAATTTTTTATCCGACTGAAACAGCATCGACTGCTGTACATTTTTTATAGTCAATCTCCATCTAGCACAACTGCTTCCCAACCAATCGCACGCGCCTGTAAAATATCAAGTCGATATCGTGGCTGTCCTGACCTAACAACATCGATGGTCCATTTACATTTTAAAGACTTTAAAAAGCTTATGGGGGCACACCCCCAATCGGAGGTAAAAAAAACGTCAACCTGCAGAACCTTTTGGGCAGGTTGGAGCTTCTCGCTACATTGTAGGTGCTTATGTGGCGTACATTGTGCCTGCGTGTATTGGTGTATACACACGAACGTGACTCGGGTTTGCCCGAGAACAGTGAAAACCCCATTCGCCCGTGCCGCCCGATCCGAAAACCACTATTTCGGAAATCGTTTCCCTGGTGGGCAAAGTCACTCTCCCCGACTTCCATCCATGGCACTGTTGGATGGAACTCATTCGAAGATACCTAAGGAATACATATGGCGACTCGGGTTAGTTTTGCCATCTGGTGATCGGTCGTTGGCCAGTTCCATCCAGTTCCCGTAATCGCACTTCGAGGGTTCTCTGCGTATGACAATCCCATTCGTGTGCTTGATGGATCGCTTGAGACGCATGGCACAAAAGCTGTACACGTGGCAGCACCGCCTTGGTTGCGTGCAGCACGGAGGGGAGATTTGACCGCATTGCGACACGAGATTCGAATCTCGAACTGCAAAATTGGGGTAATGCAAGGGAGGAAAACCACGTGACAGAAGGGATGGATATCAGAAATATTCCCAGAGTTTAGGGTTACTAGTGCCGCGTCCCCACCACAATTTGCGATGAGTACTGGGCACGCGGCACAAGCCTTTGACACCAACAAAAATCAGCACTTAGGCAATGCTGGGATATCGAGCTCGAACACTTCGGGTTGGGCCCCTGCCCCATCACGGTGGTCCCAAGTTCAACGTAACAGGGGGCAACAAGGGGTTCACCCAACTACGAGGTCGACTTTGAAATCTTGGCAAATGTGCGGCCACCGCAGAGCGTGGCAATGCAAGCAGTGCAAGCGAGGTTGCGTGCAAGCGGGCACCGCCGCACGCCCGAAATGGGATGCTCGCACGGCTGTAGAGCACCAGCACAAGAGGGCTTGGGATCTCTCATTCCCATTCCATCACCATGGCATAGGATTCTGTAACGTAGGCTTTGGACATGATTCGGTGGGTGGAGGACGGCAGCAGTTTGGTACCGGACGCGATTACATAAGACTGATCGTGCGAGCGACCGCGCATGGCCACGATAAAGGGGCAGGTTCGTTTTGGAGTGTGCAAGCCTGCCAGCTCGAGGTGACCCGCAAGACGCAGGCAGCGCAGGCGGCCCACGCAGGGCCGCGAGGCAGGGACAGGATATCTCGGAAGTGTTCTGGCCGTGAGACGAAGGTTTAGGTGACGGTTCTAGTCAGCGGGTGGTGACCAGCAGGTCTTAGCCCAATAGCCGGCCGCGGAGTGATGGGCACGCCACCCAGCCCACATTTTCCCACACCGCAGCTGCCGGCGAGCGATCAGACATGGAGTGCGGCCAGCACACAACGAGGCGTGGACAGGACCGCGAGTGGGGCCAGAGTTTGGCCCAACGTTCAGCAAGCCATTCCTGAGTTCGGGATGCCAATCCCACAGTGCTTCCAGCCATCCTTTGCCCTCCCGTGTCCGTGGCAGCATGTGCATGGCGGGGTGGGGTCAGTGCCCGTCTCCCAGACCGGCATACTCATGCGTCCCTGCTGGAGGAGACACATCTGCGGCCGTCGCGGCAGTAGTGTTCATGCAGAGGGTTTCGATACAATCCCCTGGTACAAGTACCAGCCCCTATCCAAGGGTCCGAGTATGTAGAAAGGAGCAGTTAAGCAAGACACGGTCTTGGTAACTAATCGTTTGTGCTGCATTTTAGCAGTCTTCCAACAGAGGTCCAATGGCGAGATGATGCAGGACATGGGTTGCAAGAGCACCAGAGTATATTCCACTCAATCAAGATTCATCATACAAAAGAAACACACAAGCATAAATGGTCTAACCCATGCCAGCTGCCCACCTCGACCTAGCTGCACCACATTACACCATGTCTGCTACTCCAGTACGAGAACATTGATGATGTTCCGTTACTATTAGCTACAATGATGTTCTTCTTTTTTTCACCAATCGCCAAATGTTCCTTTCCGAAGTTTGCGCACTTTACTGGACTTCATAGTGAAGTACTACTGAAATTTCTACGAATTCCTACTTTCACCAACATTCTCTAGCCCGGCCCTTTAGTATGCTGCCGCTAACCTCCTGGCCACCGCCCGCCACTACACCACTGCTCGTCACTTTGCCGCCGATAGCTTTGCTCGCCACATCTCCGCACTACCCGCTCGTCGTCTGCTCCTGTGCGCTGCTCGTGCACGTTGCCAACAATTCGACAACCAGCTGGTGTTTCTTCATCGGCAAGCTCCACCATGTCCTCGGCAGTGCATACATTTTGCCATTCTGCCGCTTGGACGTCATGCTTGGTCTTCTGAAGGTTGACCTTGGGGACCCGCCACCTCACCCTGGCGATCCCCCTCCTCTCATTCCCCATCCCAGCAAGGAACCTCTTGCCGCTGTGGTACCCATTGGCACCAGCACTCGCGCTGCCACCACTGAGGCTGAGCAACTCTTCGTCACTGATGCTTCATACTCGTTACCCAATCGTTTCGGAGGAACACAAGCACTCGTCCACCCTCCGCACCTAGCATGCAGCGACCGGCACCAATTATGCTGCTGACTCTGCTTGATTTGCTGAGCGTCATCGCGCTTGGCTCGAGACAGACAGTTGTGCTACTGATGCCCTTCTCTTTGTCATCTCATATGCGCTCATGCACATTTTCCAAACGAGTCGCATTGGCTTTCGCCAGATTGGCTCGAGCTTGAGGCGATGTTTGAGCGCACTGACTTCGACGCTGTCGGCCCGCTCTTCAGGGAATACACTTCAGCGTTATGATCGAGAATAGTGTTGGCATTGTTGATTACGCTAGCCGCTTCTTGGACCTTGCCTCATGCCTGGAGGCTTGCCATGCTACTCACCCCTCCTCCCTCCGGATCTACCATCTCCTCAACAGCATCTCTCCTCAACATAATTTGTGTGTCACCGCCTTTACGGAGGCTCATGTTAGAAATAGATTGCAAATCCCACTTTTGTATTCGTAATCTTATATCCTAGTTTAGGTTAGGAATGTTCTAGTGGGTTGGGGTGTACTCACAAATCCCAACCTCACCCAATTGTGATCCCCCTAATCTCCAATTACCCAATTGGAGATTCTGGAGATCCCAATGGGGATTCCCCCCGATTCCCCCTTCATCCATTCTCTCTCACCTTGCCATGTACTTATAGAGCCTTGGGCTCCTTACCTAATTAATTATTTCAGCTCTATTTCTTACAGCTCAGCTCCGCGCCTCTCTTGACACTGTGGTGAAGTGGTTCATTAACACTGAGCCCCGCATCCTGTTAAAACCCCACTTCTGCCCTCAACTCTATGCATTCTCAGACCCCCCAACTTGCACCCTCACAGCTGTGCCATAGCGGTCGTTCACGTACAGGCTGCCCAACCCTCAGGATGGGGGTGGAGGTGGCGGTAGTGGCAAAAACGGAGCAAACGGCTGTGGTGGCGGCAGTGGCGGGGCCGAGGGTGGCAGCAGTGGTGGTGATGGAGGTAGTGGTGGATCATCTGGTAGCCATTGTGGACGCCCTAGCACTCCCTCCCCATATTCATATCTTCACCGTTTCGGTCCCACGGCGGGTGAGCGCTGCACCCAAACCAACCAACCCCTTGCGGCCTACTTTAAGGAATACAGTACCCTGACATCTGGTTCGAGCGTGGCAACACTGGCACGCCTCCGCGTTGGTCTGCCATGGATTCCAGCGCCTCTCCTAAAATGTCAAAACCCTTCCGCCCTCTATACCCTCTCATCTTTAGCTCTCCTACTACTCCTCCTCCTCCTCCTCCTCCTCCTCCTCCTCCTCCTCCTCCTCCTCCTCCTCCTCCTCCTCCTCCTCCTCCTCCTCCTCCTTCTCCTCCTCCTCCTCCTCCTCCTCCTCCTCCTCCTCCTCCTCCTCCTCCTCCTCCTCCTCCTCCTCCTCCTCCTCCTTCTCCTACTCTTCTGTCGCTGACCCCATCACTTCCCAGGAGCTGCACTTTACAAAATCGTCTCCTCACGCTTGCTTGATGATCTTCCCCCCACTCTTCTTCCTCTCGCGTCCTCTCCCGCTCCCCCATGCACCACATGCATTCACGAAAAGTAGCATCACCTAAGAAATCTTTCATTAGCTGCTGCCACCCTTGACCTCATCCACATGGACCTCTTCCTAACCCTTTCCCTTCCCCTTCCTCTTTTACCGATACATGCTAGCACTCGTGGATGACCACAGTAGGTACTCATCGGTTCCTTCTCCTTGCGTTGTCGAGGCCCCTGCTGTCATCGTCGCATGAGGCCGAACAGTGCCATGTCCACTTTGGTTGCCCTATACGCCACCTCCATTCATACAACGGTGGTGAGTTTCTCAACTGCACCCTCTCCTCCTGCTCCTCAACCCATGGAATCTAGCAGACACACTCCCTTCCCCTCTCCTCAGTCATGCCTCCACCCCCCTTTCCTTATGGTTATGCCCTTGTCCATGCTTGCTCTTCTCACTAATCTTTACCCACACCCTCAATGCCAGTCCGTCACTCCCACATAGCTCTAGGCCTCCACAAAACCTGACAGAGCTACTCTCCATGTTTGGGGTTGCAAGGCACATGTCCTCAGCACCCCTTCCGATCGCTCCAACTAGGTAGGGAAGCTCGCCTCCAAGGCCATTGAATGTGTCTACCTTGGCCACGCTCACTCTTCCCCTAGTTTACCTGTCCTCAGGCCGCCTCCTCCAGAACAGTGACGTGGTGTTCGATGAGAGCCTCCCATTCTATCATTCCCTTCTGCCCTCCAACCCGCTTCCCCCTTTCAACTTTGGGCTGATGCTGTCATTCCCCCAATCCTTCCCCCGGCTCCCCTCCTTCCTCGGACTCCCCCTCCCCTCCCTTCCTCCATCCTCTGGCAACATCTACAACACAGCTGTCTTTCAATCCCGTGCTCACTCTGCCTCCACGCATCAGCAGCATCAGCAGTAGTAGCAACAGCACCAGCAACAGTAGCAGCAGCAGGAGCAGCAGCAGCAGAAGCAGCAGCAGCAGCAGCAGCAGCTGCAGCAGCAACAACAGCATCAGCAACAACAGCAGAGCACTAGCAGCAGCAAGAGGTGCAGCAGCAAGAGTAGTAGGTGCAGCAGTAGGAGTGGCCGGAGCAGCAGCCATTACAGCAGCAGCAGCAGCAGCCGCAGCAGCCAGAGGGGTAGCAGCCACAGCAGTAGCAGCATCAGCAACAGGCAGAACAGTAGCCACAGCAGCAGCTTCGCTAGCATTACCTCACCGCCTCTCCCTTGATCCTCCCACGCGTCCATATGCACTCTCGTGGCCCACTCATTGGTCACCCATGGGGGTGGCCCGCGCCACCTCCACCCGCCCTTTCCTTTATCGAGGACTACCATGAGGAGCTCATTAGCATCCAGCAGCAAACGCCTTCTCTCACGCCTCTCTACCCCGGCATTCCCAGCCTCCTAATTCTTGGCATCGCCTCCGCTCCCACCATATTCACCCCATCCAAATTCTTCGAGGCTATCACCTGTCCGGACGCGTCCAAGTAGATCGAGGCAACCTTTGCTGAATGCAAAGCCTTCATCTACAAAGCCTCATTTGTTGACGTCATTCCCTCTCATGATAACGCCATTATTGAAGGCTTGTGGGTGTTCTGCGATAAGCAGGCCTGGCAAGCAACCGGTCTACAAGGCCTGGTACTGCGCCAAGTGTTTCACCCATGGGCATGGCGTTGACTACTGGGAGACATTCTCTCTTAGTGCCAAGCTCCCCACCCTCTGTGCCCTCCTCGACTATGCCATCCGAATTGGCATGGAGATTGCTGCAATAAAATGCACGGATTTGGATACTTCTAGCCTGGATGCACCCAAAACCGTTGAAATGCTTGGAATCTGATTCCATTCTAAACAACACCGTGCATGATTTGCTATAAATTTAGCCCTTATACTTGGACAGCTTCTACCTCTTTCTGTCAGCTTAGTAACGCCATAAAGCACGCCTTAATCTAAGCATGGAGCAGGGAATGGCGACCAAAAATGTAGAGCTGGTATGAAAGCGTTTTGTGATTACTAGCAAGAAAGAGGTGAGTCCATACAGGCATGAGAGACCTCTTAAAGGGTTGGGATCATCTGAGGAGCTCTTAGAAGGTTGAGAACTGAGGGAGAAAGGCATGAGAGGGATGAAAAAACGCCCTGGGCTAGCAACAGTAGAAGAATGTTGCCATGAGTCAGCAGACCTTCCCACTTGCACCCTCAAGCAGGCTGCTTCTGGGAAGCCCACATTTCTCAGAGGAGGATAGCTGAGGTCCACTTGACAACCTGTACTTGTCCTGCTCCCCATCCCTGCACATCTGGCTAGACAACAAAGGAAGATGACAATGGAAGTGCAAGCTATAGTGCATGCCAACTGTGAAACAGTCACATTTGGGGAGCTGTAAAATGCAGCTCCGATGCTTGGTTGTCTTGAAACTCAGTGACCACTTGTACAGCATAGCATCTATTGAGCTTACCGAGTTGGAGTTGTGTTGGATCACTCTAGGCGGGGTTATATCCAAAATGGTGTACATGGGTGTTACACACAATTGTGCACACCGATTTCCTTCCCGCCCTGAAGAAAACCTCCACCACTGTCTGGGCAGTCACGGCATTCGAAAGTTTGGAAAATGAAAACGTGGGTGAGGCTAAATGGTCGAACGACCCCACTTTGTAGTTGGAGAAGGGAGAGTAGCGCATCGACGCTGCCTTTTTGTGCTGCGTACAAGCTGCTGCACTTTTAGAATAAGTAATTTTAGCAAGTCTAGCACTTTCGAAAACGTAAATATGAACAAAGTGGTACTCGGGCTTTAAGTGAATTTTATGTCCTTTCTTTCAGTAAGGAAAGCATCCAAAGAGCTTGTTGGAACAGTAAATATGACGCACCAGCCCTTTGCACGAAATCAGCGACAAGGGGCAGAAATGTCGGTGGCGAAATAGGGAGTTGGCAAAATGGAGAACATTCCGAAACCAATCAGATTTCAGCTGAAGGTTCAATAGAGTTTGGGGGGCATTTCAGCAGTGTGGTCCAGAAAAGTCCAGGAGCTCTACACCACAAAATCATCTACAGCAAAATATTCCAGAATCATCCTATTAATGCACCTCATGTGGCCTCCCAAGTTAGCCAAGTTTCACGGCAATTGGGTTGTGCCCAAGTTCCCAAGCGTTTCGTCTTGTGCTCCAGCCAAGTTTGAGGTAGCAAGCCGATTTCCTATTCATGCTCTAAGTGAAAATGCCTTAGAGGGCCTTGTACAACCTTGAGTTAAGTAAAGTTTATGCAATTTCTTTCAGTCAAGCAAGCATCCAGAGAGCTTTCAGCTGTGTTTCTTGTTGAGTAAGCACCGAGAGCATCCCTTCTTTAAGTGAGCTTTCAGCTGTGAGAAGAGAACGTTTTCCCTCTACCCTATCCAACCGTAGATCCTTCTGACCCAAAGGGAGACGCTCTAAGGGCGAGTCCCAAAAAATCGTTAAGCCGTTTTTGACGCGGAGGAACGTGCAGTGGTGCGAAAAAGGAATCGATTTTGATGTGCTTGGTGCGAGAGTGGAACACAGGATCCTTGGTGAGGTGAATGGCGCTCTGGTTGTCACACCACAGGGTGGGCGACTACTGGGGGTAGCCTAACTCAGCGAGGAGAAAGGAGAGCCAGCGTGCCTCTTGAGCAGCCATTGTGCCTGCATAGAGCTCGGCCTTGCAGGACGACAGGGAGAGTGCAGAGGACCGAGTGGAACGCCAGCTGATGACTCCGCTGCCGACAGTTAAGCAGTACCCTTGGGAGGAGCGTCTGTCAGTCTGGTCATCGGCCCATGAGGAGTCTCTGTATCCCTCGAGCTTGACTGGAGAGGTACCACCGAGAGTGAGGATGTGAGACTTGGTGGCTGGTAGATAGCGCAGGACCCTCTTGGCTGCAGACCAATGGGAGGCAGTGTAGCGTCCGGGGGAGACATACCGAGAGAGGACACTAACCGGGTAAGCCAAGTCTGGTCGAGCGCACATCATAGCATACATGAGTGAACCGACTAGCTGAGGGTCCTTGCAGGCGTCAGGAGAAGTAATCGGAGGGGCCATCAGCTGATGCTGTAGTGGGAGTGGAGTGGAGACAGAGTTATTGGAGTCCATTTCAAAACGCTTGAGAAGTTTGTCGATGTAGGACTCCTGGGAGAGGGTGGTCGTGCAAGCCTGGCGGTCACGAGTGATCTCCATTCCCAGGTAGTTCTTGAGGTCACCAAAACCCTTCATGAGAAGGGTAGAGCTAAGAGCAGACTGGACAGCTGCCATCTCGGCTGGATCTCTCGCGACTAGAATGAAAACGTCGACGTAGACGAGGATGTTAAGGGCTCGGATGAGTGACGAATGAAGAGACTAGAATCTGAGGTGGAGGGACGGATGTCCAGTGCAAGGAGGACATCCTTCACCTTGTTGTGCCACTCACGAGGAGCCTGCTTGAGGCCATACACTAGGCGCTTCAGCTTCAACACTGTGTTGGCAGGGAAAGTGCCAAGAAACCCCGGTGGGCGTTCCATGTGAACATCCTCCTTGAGCTAGCCTTGGAGAAAGGCGGAGAAGGCATCCATGGACTTGATCTCGAAGTTGCCGAGAGCGGCTAGAAGTGCGCGGGGGAGATACGGATGGAGGGGACATCACCCCCGGCAGGAGGAGGTGGGGTGATCGAACACCGGAGGGAGAAGGCGGCTGGTCCCCAGGCGAGAGGCGGAGCCGGTCCCTTGGAACGAGTGCGACTAGAGACCGGAGACGAAGGCGGCTGCGGTGGGACCGGAGGGACTGGGCGCCTCCATTAGGAGACTAATGAGCCGGGCTCGACGTGCGGGGATGGCGGAGCAGGAGGAGGTGCCGCTGCGGAGGATACCGGGGAGACCAGGTGAGACATGCCAAATGGAGAAGGCCCCGGAGAAGGGGCAGCGGCCAGAGGTGGGGCATCGAAGTATGCCCATACAAGCATCGGGGGAGGTGGAGGAGGCTCGCCCGTGGTCGCAGAGTGGAATGGGCGTGTCTCATCGAAGACGACATCACGGCTGCGAATCAGCTGTCTGGTGATGGGGTTGAGGAATAAGTAGTCTGGGGAATCAGCGTTGTGCCCTAGGTTCATGCAGGTCTGGGTTTTGGGACCAAGCTTGCCACCTTGCTTCCAACGCGTGTAGGGGCTGAGCAACACATACGCGGTACACCCCAAGACGCGTAGAGAGCGGGCAGAAGGCGTGGCCCCAAGCGAGAGAGTGGTGGGTGTGGTGTCGGGCCGGTGGGGATGCGGATAAAGATTGTAGAGGAAAGCTGCATGGAAGAGGGCATATCCCCAGAGTCACCGTGGTGCGTTGGCGTGACTGAGGAGGCAGCGAGCGATCTGAACCAATGTGTGGTTGCGGCTCTCCGCAATGCCGTTCTGCTGCGGGCTTTCGGGGAGCGTGAAGGTTTGCCGAATGCCTTGGGCTGCGCAGAAGTTATCGAGTTTGCCATTGCGAAATTCTCCCCCGCCATCAGAATGGAGGCACTTCAGAGGAGTGCTGAACGTGACTTGAGCCTGGCGTACCCATGCCATGATGAGGTCAGGTGCCTCCGCTTTGGTATGCAGGAGGTGCACAGAAACATACCGCGAGTGGTCATCGACTAGTGTGAGAAAGTACCGATGACCGCCTCGGGTTGCGACTGGAGCTGGGCCGCAGACATCCATGTGCACTAGGTCCAGCGGAGCAGCTGCGACGGATGGGGAGGAAGGGTGCGGCTGCTGCCTGAGCTTGCTTTTGGTGCAGTCCAGGCAGGTGGGTGCAGGTGAGTCTGTTGGTGGAGGAAGCTCCGACGGGAGGCCAAGAAGAAATTTCTTGGAAGCGATGTCGGCAAGCGTACGAAAGTTGGGGTGACCCAAGCGATGGTGGTAGAGGATGGTTGGGTTGGCAAAGCTGCGACAGGAACACGGAGTGGTGTTGGCAGCTTGCGCATGGGAGAGGGCGGTGAGGGGTGCAGGCGAGCGCAGCGAATAGAGCTTGCTGCTGTTGAGTGTGAAGCGTGCTAGGAGCTTGTTGGACTTAGGGTCGAGGAGGTCACAGTGATCCGAGTGTGCTGGGAAGATCGTGGTGATGCCTGCTCGTTGGAGCTCGTGTTGGGCCACGAGATTGTGGCGTAGTATGGGAACACACATGCCCGTGACACTGCCTGAAGGGAAAGGTTGGGCACGTTACTGTGGAGGAGCCCTTGGCGTGTGTTGTGAAACTGGAGTCTGCTCCTAGTAGAGGGATTGGTGTCTCCTGGTATGGCTTGAAGGAGTGTTCTTCCTTGAGAACTGTGTGAGTGGCTCCACTGTCAAGGGTGAACTCTATTGTGGCTGAGGTGCTTTGTGAGCCGGGACACTGTGAAATTGTCTCATTAATCATGGCAGTTCCAGGGAACAACATGTTGAGGGGGAGCTACAGCAGCCTGCACGGATTCCTGCGCTTCGACTTGATTGACCTTGCAAGGAGCACGAT